ATCTTCTCTGTTCTTCATTTCACATTAACATCAGCTTAGAGAACTGAAGGTACGATATCTTTTGTAATCAGTTTTCTTTGGTATGTTTCGATGATCTTTGATGCATGTTAAGTTAGGAGAAGGGAAATATTTTTATTAATCATGTTATTCTCTTTACTTGCATCAAGAGGTTGAAGATAAATTACAAAATATCTTTTTTAATAATTTTATTAGTCATGATATTGAATCAAAACTTGATCGAATATCTGAACACTTAATAAAAAAACAAATAGCACCCCTATAATTCATATCTAAAGCAGAATAATTTAGTTTGGTAACATGTTTAATATTTGAACAAAATCTTTTAGAAACTGTGCTTTGCACGAGTCTAAATACTAGTGTGTGTACCATACTCCCTTTAAAAGAGGGAGTTGTGAAAAAACTTTTCATGAACTATATTGCCCCTATTCTTTTTTTCATATTATATTACAATCATATACTAACTAAATTAACTATCATTATTAATTAATCATATTACATGTCACTTCAATTTTGTCTAAAACTTGACCCTAAAAATTCCAATGTTATTGTAAAACTCTCATATTAATTATGAATAACGCATCATACTATATAATAGATAATTACAAGTTAATAAATTATTTTAGAAGGAGTAGAAAATATAGAATTGTCCTAAAATTATACCATAGCACTCATATAGAAAAATTATAAAGAGTATTCTTGTGTATATAAGTACAAACATGCAATTTTAGAAAATATTAGGATATTTAAGTGCGATAAGATATAAGTGAAGGTACATGAGTGTAACTTTCGTAGGCTGTAAGGTATTTAAGTTTAATTAAGCATATAAAGATTTGAAGCCTTTGTTAACCACAAGCAATGGTATGTGATCCCTTTGATAAATAATATTCATCGTATAATATGAGGCTAGAGGCTTAGCATATATATTTATATAGTTCAGAATATGTGGAAAATTTTAAGCTTCATATTTTGAATAATTTCAAGATTCCTATTCTTTTTTTATATTATATTCTAATCATAAATTAACTAAATTAACTATCATTATTAATTAATCATATTACATGTCACATCAATTTTGTCTAACTTGGTCCTAAAACTTCTAATGTTATTGTAAAACTCTCATATTAATTATGAATAATGCATAATACTATATTAATGGACAATTGCAAGTTAATAAATTATTTTGGAAGGAGTAGAAAATATAGAATTGTCCTAAAATTATACCATGACACTCACATAGAAAAATTACAGAGTATTCTTGCGTACACAAGTACAAATATGCAATTTTAGAAAACATTAGGATATTTAAGTGCATTAAGATATAAGTGGAGGTATTTAAGTGCAACTTTCGTAAGCTACAAGGTATTTAAGTTTAATTAAGCCTATAAAGATTTGAAGCATTTGTTAACCACATGCAATAGTACGTGATTCTATTGATAAATAATATTCATCGTATAATATGAGGCAAAAAACTTAGCTTATATGTATAAAGTACAGAAGATGTGGAAAATTTTAAGCATCATATTTTGTCATTTTGAATAAGTCTCAAGATTTTGAATTATAAATAAAATTATATACTTTACTTAGAATCATATTATAGTCCCTTTAAAAAAGGAAGTTGTAGAAAAACATTCTATGGACTATATTACCCCTATTTTTAAAATATTATATTTTAATCCTAACTAAACTAAATTAATTATTATTGTTAATTAATCATATTATATGCCACTTCAAGTTTATCTAACTTGGTCCCTAAAACTTTCAATGTTATTGTAAAACTCTCATATTAATTATTAGTAATGTCAAATAAGATATTAATAAACAATTGCATGTTTATTATTAATAGAAAAAGTAGAAAATATAGATTATCCTAAAATTATACCATTATATTCATATAGGAAAATTAAAAATATTATTAGTGTATAGAAGGTACAAACATGCAATTTTAAAAAATATTAGAATATTTAAGTGCACTAAGATACAAGTGGAGGTATCAGGTATGTAATTAAAACTTTTATAAACTGTAAGGTATTAAATTTAATTAAGCCAATAAAGATTTAAAATCTTTGTTAACCACAAGTAATATTATGTGATCCTTTTGATAAATAATATTCATCATATAATGTGGCCAGAGGGTTACCTCATATTTATTTACTAGAGATGTAGAAAAAATAAAGCATCATATGTTGAATAATTTTAAGATTTTGAATTATTTCTGAATTTATATACTTTGCTTGGAAAGGTTTAGAAGACGCTTTCGAAGAACTACTACAAAGTGTTGGGCATCATATAAATGATGGACAAATAAAATCAATGGACATTGGATTGCAATAATCGGGGTTATGTAAAAATTATCTGGGTTTCATACGAGATAATGCTCATACATAATATAACATTGTAATCTATAATCTTGAATATTGATGACTTTTCAACATAAAAATTTGCGTCAAGATATATGCTTAAGATTTAGGAGAGCCAAGAGTGGAGAGATTTGGGATATGAATTGTGATTTTTGTGACTTGTGCTTTTAGTTTTGGTTTCTAAACAAGACCTAATACCAAGCCCACAATTAAATTAAAATTGACTTGATTTTGTTATACCAGCCAATATTTTCGATAATGATCGATATATGAGAAAAAATCCCCAAATAAAAGAAAACAATATAAAACCATAAATATTATCAATATAAAATAATTAACCATTATATCAGTCGATATAGCAATATATCGGCCGATATTTCATATATTGCCTATAAGAGTAATATTTAAAGGTAATTTAGATATCATTTCCTTGATTTTAAATCTCTAATAATTCTACATTATTTACTTAAAATTTTAAAATTACTTATAATTTAGGGACTAATATTGAATTATAAAACATTTGAGGGACATATATGTAAATAAGCTAAATTTAAAGGAATAGTTAATTTTTGAAAATTCTTTCAACTATAGGGAATGTCTCAAAAAAACTACTCAACTAATTTAATTTGATAGAGCCCCCTAATTATAGAGGCGTTATAGGTAACCTCTCTCTCAACTTTAGTGCGATTTTAGAAAACACCTATCGACTTAGTGTCTTAAAAAAACTCTCCTGGTCTTTTACACATTTCTTAACAAACCCCCTTAATGTAAAAGACTTTAATATGTGATTTTGTCAAAATGCCCTATTGAAAGCCATTTTATTTAAAAAGAAACTCTCAACCGATAATAAAAGGATTACAACCAATTTACAGTTATTTTTACCTCTAAATCTTTACTTTTAAAAAAAGACAAACTAATTCTTTTTATGGTTGAGAGATATTTTAGTCTTTCCAAGTATTTATCACATAATGAATTTGACTCAACGATATTATTTTTGAGGGGCTAATTGAGAAAAGATCATAGGGTTATATCAAAATTTTAAAGTTGAGATAGATTAACTACAACACCCCAAATTTGATGAACAAAGATTTACTCATTTCAAGTAGTTGAGGGGGGAAGATTTTTTAACATTTCCCCCATAGTTGAGGGGAAGTTTTCTAAAATTAACCCTTAAACAAAGCTGAATTTAAGACACATGTGACATCAATCTTATAAGAGTGGATTTTATAGCAAATCTATTAGTATCTCTAAAAATCTATTGCTACAAAATTCTCAAAGAGAAATTTAATCTTTATTTGGGATGGCTATGTGATCCTTATGATTCTCATTATCTTTTATTATTTGTAAAATTATTTAACAAAATAAATTAAGATGTTCATTTTATACGTCTCACCTTTATGAAGCATTTAGTTTGGATATAAGTGTTTTTAGATTCTGTTAACTCTTTAACCTAATTTTTTGGATATTATTCAATATTGGATAGATCTAAATTATTTTGTTAAAACAAAATCCATGTGTACAAAATATGTTTAAATCATTCTCAGATTATATATTATAGTTTTTTAAAATTAGAGAGTAATCCTTTTGATAAATTAATTAATTAGTTGAGAAGATGTAGGAAGATTATAATATCAGATTTTAGAATTGGTCACATAATATATATTTTCTTTCTTGATTTAATTTGCACATTCTAACTTTAAAAATTCTAGAAAAAAGTTTTTTAAATATCTATAATACTCGATCACTAGATAATAGAAAGTGGAAGCAGACAATAGGTGCGAGCGATTTCTTTATAATTAAACAAAATCATCTATGACCAAATAAAACCTACCATTTTATGTTGATAAATTCAATATTTATTTTTTCATTAATAATAATAGTTTTTTAGATATTCGTCTTTACATCATTAATATTTTAAAAGTAGAATTCCAAATCATTAAATTGCTCTTAGATCATTAATATTTTAAGACTTTAAACCTCACTAATTATGTGGAAGTTGAAGTGTTGAAACCAACAGATTTTATATATTGAAATATCTAATACTTTTTAATTTATTATGATAATCATAAACTTTTTTGCAACTATATTATAGTAAATACATAAACTAAAAATCAACAATTATAATGTTTGACCATGTGCATTGCACGTGCATTCCACCTAGTGTGTGTGTATAGGGAAATATGTACCTAAGAAGCCACCTTAGGTTAAACCTAAGGATGCACGTCTCAAATTATGGATTTAGTTATATCAATGGACGATCCGCTCCATTCATCATGATCTAAATGTTTTAAAGCATCTACAAAATAAAAAACATGATGTCCGAATATTTCTAACACATAATTTTCATTGTCTTTTTGGTTGTATAATTGTTTTGTCATAAAACTGTTAATTTTATAATCACTTAATGCATTAGTAAATACAACCCAATATGTCTAATTTTTTATTTATATGTCATCTGAATCATATAGAGCAAATGAACGGAATGGATCAAGTAAATTGATTGCGTATAATCTAATTTTAAAGGTGCATCTTAGGAGCAACCTAAGGTAAGTACATAT